GATGTATCAGAATGGCGGCAGCCTTCGTGTTTTGAATAAATATCCAGGTCATCCTACGAATCTCAACTGTCCATACCGGATTTCTAAAAAAGTGGAGACATGACAATCAAAGGATGGAAACAAATGTATGGACAGTTGTAAGGAGCTTCTTGGAAGCAAAAGGAAGCGAGGCGCAAGAATTGAAGACAGGATGATCTCCATTCTTCATAATGGAGAGTCAGGGTCTATATTGTTTTATGCTATTTTACCTTAAGTGTGTTTAGGTCCTACCTGATACTGATGATCATGTGCTAAGAACAATTATGTAGGGTTGGGTTCGATGACTATGAGGATGATGATTGTATGACTTATTATTAATAACGAGTAGAAGTTGTATGATGATGCTTGATTAATTAGTAGGACTTGTTATTATATATGATGATGTATGATGCGAGCATGCATGAGTTATTATATATATATATATATATATATATATATATATATATATATATATATATATATATATATATATATATATATCTGCGGGTGAAATAAACATAGCAGTAGCGTAGGTAAACCAAGGATGAAGATATAAGAAAGGACACTTCTCTCTATTAGCTAGCTAATAACAACCTAAAAATAACCCCCTAAACCCCTAAAACAGCCACTTTTTTTAAAAAAAAAAATCTCAGCTCCAGCCAGATGCTGACGCGTGGAAGCCTATTGGTCCCGGTTTATGTCATCAACCGGGACCAAAGGCCCCTCTGCCTGGGCTGTCGGCACTGTCCACATGAAGGCCCATCAGTCCCGGTTCTGGATTGAACCGGGACTAAAGGGTCGGGGCATTAGTACCGACACTTTAGTCCCGGTTCAAGAACTGAGACTAAAAGCCCTTATGAACCGAGACTATAGACCTTTTTTCTATCAGTGGTCGTGGAGCCACGGGAGGTGGCTGCAACATAATTTGCAGTCACCCCACTCGATCGATCGAATCTGGATCACCATCATTTAGCCATCCAAATATGAAGCAGGCAGCCACACCTGGTCGGCCATGGACGACACCAAAGTTGCGGCCGCAAGACAACATATCCGACCGCCGCCCCATCCATATAATTGCAGACAGTCACCGCCACCTAGAACCTTATGGGCCGCGCCCAGGTTCCTAATAAACATGGCCGCCCGCGCAGGAGACAGGCGGAGGATCTCGTCACCGTGACCTGGCAGTGCCAGGAGACGGACGGAGGACCTCGTCACTGTGGCAAAGGCCAAAGGCAACACGTCAGGGAGAGCTTTTCCCCAAGGTATCGGCGCACACCACTCAAGCGTCAGCCTGGCCGGACATCGCCGCCAGATCCCTAGCCCCACAAGACCGGCAGGTGCACCATGTGCGTGAGGCGTGTGCATGCCGGCCAGCGTTGGCGAGATCCCAGCTATGCCGCGGCGACTCGCACAACCGCCATGCAAGGCTGCCCTGTAGAACATACCATGCAAACGGGTGGGGGGTGTTAGAAGGGATAGAGAGTGATTGATGGAATCGTTGTTTATCGCTTGAGCCTCGTGGGCATATATATAGGAGTACATGATTTTTTTGGAGTATAAGACAATCCATAATACTTTTCTAGTTTATCCTATGTTTCCAATCTAATCATTATACTCAACATCCCCCGTAGTCACAAAGGTAGCAACGCGGACGATAAGACTGGAGAAGAGTCCGAAGATGAGCCGACCGACATCCCCCCACAGTCGTAACGGTCGATGCATCGAGGAAGTCATGTGGCTGGTGTGAAAACCAACGAGGTTGCTCAAGCAAGGCGGTAGCCCTTTGTGCTGATGTCGATGTAGCCTAGAGAATAGGGTGGTGTAGCCGTCGTCGAGGTAGCCATGCGTAGCACGCCGTGGTCGATGTCGAGACGGGGTGACCAGTGTTGAGAAAGTCGCCGTGGAGCCGCGAGCACAAGGAGGCGCCGAGTTAGTCATGGATGGTGGTGTCGAAGCAGTGCTGTGCCGGAAAGAAGACGATGTTGATGAGGCATCACACCGGGTTTGCCAAACCCGGGGACACGTCGTAAACGAAGGCATCAGCACCTGACATGCATAGACGGACGAAGACGAAGTTGACGAAGTGCTGCACCAGGCTTGCTAGGTCCTGGGACACATCGTGGACGACGACACGCATCGGTATTGCCAGCACCGGACATGCGTAGATGACGGACCTGCACGAATTTTCTTCATGGTCATTGAGTAAAAACAACACGGCTCCTGTGAAGCTGAAGATCAGCATTTCTCTGCCATCCTGCAGCAGAGCACGCCGATCCAGCACACATGTAGATGCAGCAACCAACTGGTACCTCATTGTGGATGCACCAGTGTGAAAGCCATCGCCGCACCTTTTGACATGAAGCTGAATCCCGACAGTTATTCGTCTTAAAGCCTCTTCAGGGGGAAAGAACCGCAAAGCAAATGTGCCGAAATATGAATAGAAGAAAAACAAAAGCTGGGCAGTTCGCACATGGCACTTGGGTCTCTTCCACGCGCTTGCGACCGGGCTTCCGCCTCTCGTACAAGGATGAAGGACCTGCTGCGCCTTGTGTTTCTCCTTCTCTACGGCGTGCTGTCAGCTCATGCATCTCATTTCGTCACATCAATCTGAAATTTTGCGTCCTCATTAATGTGTACAGACATGCGCATCTGCAACGCTGCACGTTAGGAATTCGAGGGGTCGTCATTCGTCAATAACACTGGCATTTGGCGAAAATCATAAAATTAACTACCGGGTTTTGGAAAGTTTAGCATAAAATGACCCAATCCAGAAATATTTTTCATGATCTGATCGTTTTTCGCAACGCCACCGACCATGACGTTTCAGTGTTAGATCTTTTCGGGAGATGTGACTGCTGTAACGTGTTCTGTAGACTGTAGTGGTGATTCGTCTTGAAACACTCCACGCGAGCAGTGCAAGGGAAAGATGAACATATCCTGCAAGGAAGAGGAAGTCATGTGATGATGGATGATGGGTATTGGACTATTGGGTGGTGATATGATGACTCTCTGAATCCTTGGCCTATGCATGATTGACCCAAGCCTTGTGATGATGGTTGATACCTGACCACATGCATGCAGTTTCTATGTGCCACGTGATACACCATCGTGACTTGGAGTCGGAGGAGACGACAGACGAGTTGTTTGTGCCTGCTGCGTGTGTGCATTCCTGAGATGTAGGGCTAGCTAGGGCCATTCACGTGTGAACAGACCGTGCGTGCGAGATGCTGCATGCATGCATGTTTGCTCGTAGGTTATCTCTCCCGGACGGTAGCCGTTGACCCAAAATAATAAGAAGGTAAAGCTGCGTCCAGCTGCATGCAGCAGTCAGCTCCTCGATCACACCTCGTCTATAAATGTGTACGAGGTTGGCATCCCAACCTTATGCTAGCGAGCAGCGGCCGCTAGTCACTAGTCACGTCTCACATGGATCCAGACTCCAAGTTCCGCACTCTCCTTGCCGTGGCCGCCGCGGACGTCGTGCTGCTGACATGCCTTAGCTCACGCCGGGGCCGCATCAGCCGCGCCAAGCATGGCCGCTTCTTCCTCTGGGCCGCCTCCGCTTTGTATCTCCCGCTTATCTCCTACATCCTCACCTACCTCACCAACGACCTCTCCACCCTGGTCCACCGAAGCTGCATACAGGATGGTGATTCGACAACGGAGTTGCAAAAGACCACGCAGGAGCTCGAGTGCTTGTCCCGGTGGGCGTGGGTGGTCATGCTGACCGTCATCGTCCTTCAGTCTCTCATGTCCAACGCCGACATGGCAGCCCTGGCAGTGGCCGCGGTTGCCTCGCCCGCAGCCGGCGCCGACGACATCAACAGCCAGAGGATCCGGCCGTCCATGGACAGCCTCATCTACTTCTGGGTGGCGAGCGTCGTCATCTACACGATGCTAGCAGGGGCGGAGCCAGGATTTAGAAATAGGGGGGCCAGACCGACGATAAGGCCAGTTTTTTTTTGCCTCACAAACTACCTAATAGTTTTACATCCGAGTATCATTCATCTTTCTCGGATGTCCTCGAAGGGACTAGTATCATTTATTTTAACTTTGCATAGACACATACAACCTTTTGTGGCTGAAGCAGACTAGACAAAGTTGATAATCAAACTACTCCGAAATATGGCATGAAATGCTACATGTCATATGTACAAATAAGAAAAATCACTGTATAACCAAATAATAGGTTTGAGTGGAAAATCATCACTGGTTCTATTATGTAACTTTGTTGTTGTATTGAAAAAAAGGTCAATATTACATGAATACATACATAGAGAATCAAACCCAACCTGTACTCGTCCCCTCTACTGCTAGGTCGAGGTAGACCGGCTGGTCGTGGTTGGAAGGTGCATGATTTCGAACGATTTCCTGTGCCCGAGCGCGACGCATCACAAATCACACATCTGATGTATAACAAATTAATGATACAAGATGAGAATTCAGAGAAGTAGACAGTGCTGGATTAACCTTGGCTAGATCATTGGCTGCAGGACAAATAATTGGCGAGTGAATTAGCTTGACTTCACGAATCAGATCATGAGAAGGGAGAGCCAAGGCGGGCGGCGGCGAGGGCGCAGGACGGCAACAGCGCAGCGCTAATCAACACACACGCTAATCATCATCGGGAATAATGCCCAGCGCCCAGGAGACTTTTAACGAAGGCCGATCAACAAATATGGCCTTGGCATGGGTTGTAAACGATTGCTAGTGGGCTTTTACATTGGCCCTTTTTCCTTTCTTCATAAATCACGTTGAGTTAGGGGGGGCCAATTACTTCTGTACTTGAATCATATCGCTAATTATCTACGGCCTACTCGATGTTTGCTCGATCGATAGGGGGGGCCAGGCCCCTGCTCGCCCCCCCTTGTCTCCGCCACTGGATGCTAGTATATGCCCACAAAGAAAGACATGTACGATTAGAACTGTTGTCCGCAATTTTAACCGTCGTATTTCTGTTCTGGGCGCCTGGTGCTGGAAGAATGGTGCTCACGTTTGCTGCCTTCCGGCACGCGAATGGCTCCTTCGCCCTTGACCGGAACGCGCAGCTCATCGACGGCTACATGGCACAGCTGCAAGAAATGGAGGCGGTGCTGGTACCCCCTCTCATTGTGACGGGAGAGAGGAACGAGGAAGTGGAAGAAACCCTCCAAGGGTATCGTGTCAAGCCTTCAGCGCTAATATCAAGCCGCCTTGTCACGCTGGACAAAGTCTGGTCATCAGACGACCATCGCCTGTCTCAGGAGCTCAAGGACCTTTGCCTCTCCTTTTCTCTCTTCAAATGCCTGCGCAGGCGGTTCGCTGGCTACCGGCTAGCCGAGGCCGGCTCTACCCGGGCCTTCCACTTCGTCTGCCATGGGCTACTCGGCGAGGAGGATGACCATGGGAGGATATTTCGGGTGATTGCCCACGAGCTCTCGTTTGCAAGCGATTTCTACTACTCCCCTCTCCCTGTGGCCTCTCAGGGTGCCTGGCCCGCAGCTCTCCACTTCGTCCTCTCCTTGCTCACTTGCATTACACTTTTCATTTTATCACTCTACCTCGTTCCACACCTTTTGATCGGGATTGCTGCTGGTCACGTACCAGTCGGTATTCATCTAATTCTTCTCACCGCAGTCGCTGCATCCCTCGAGATATGGGCATTGGTCAGCAGTGCGCGCTCTAATTGGACCAAGATAAGCATGGTTGCCCACTGCATCAACCGGCCTCGTTGGTCCAAGATGATCTCTTCCTGTTTGCTAAAATGCAAATCACCGAGGCATTGGAAGGATGTGATTGGGCAGAGCCGTTTACTCAAGCCTAGTCCTCCCAAGGACCATCTGTTCAAACAGATCTTCTTCCCAAGAAGGAACCAGCATGTCAAGGTCACATCAGATGTGAAAGCTGCGGTCCTCACATCCTTGAGGATCAGTGAGCGGCAGCTGAGCAACGGCATAGCCACGGTACAGCGTCGGTGCCCTCACCTTGCTTGGGCATGCCATGGAGGCGCCACCACTAATACTGATGCTATCCTCGTGTGGCACATTGCCACAAGCCTCTTTGAGTGTTCTCTTGTTGCTGCTCCGGCTCCAAAGCCAATCACAAACATGGCCGTTGCAAACAGCTTGTCATGTTATTGTGCATACCTCGTGGCAGAGGCTCCAGACCTGCTACCAGACAATGCTGCCTCAACGAGGCTCCGCTACCGGCAGGTGAAGGAATGTGTGGAAACATCCATGCGTAGTGCATCTTCAAGGTCGAGCATGGCCTTGTATTCCCACCTGCTTCAGTCTTTCGGTCATGACAACTCCCATAAGGTGCTGAAAAGGGGCTCAAGGCTTGGTAGGCAGCTAGTGGAAGAGGTTCAAAGGCGGAAGGAGGAGAATCAAGAAAAGAACCACGAACAATCTACAGGGGGTGAAGAAGAGGCGGTGTGGGAGCTCCTGGCGGAGTTCTGGTCAGAGATGATACTCTACCTCGCGCCGTCGGACAACGTCAAGGGCCACGTTGAGGCACTGCAGCGTGGCGGCGAGCTCATTACGCTGCTGTGGGCACTGCTCCTGCACGCCGGCATCACCACCAGGCCTGCTCCCACCGTCCCCGAGCCTTGATGACTTCATCTTCATCCACCACCTTCTGATTTACATTTGGTGCTGATTTTGTAGTATTTAGTATGTATTGTGCTTGTTTAGGTGTGTGCTGGTCGTGATTAGCTATCTGTCCGAAGACTGCTTGATGATTCTGTATTCAGTATTGTGTATGTTTACTGTGTGCTGACCACGGTAGTTCCCTTTTAACTTTGCGTGTTTGCAATGGTATTGGCCAGGCTTTACAGAGTACTCTGATAGTGTCTAATCTTTCTCTGGGTTAAATGCCCGCAAATATATTTCTACTTCTGATTAAAATCAGTATTCTCTCATCACGTGCCAATGCAAGAGGTCACAAGATTCATGTCCACATACATTCCGAATCTCTAAGAGTGTTCGACTGTTCGACGACCAAAACCAACTGCATGAACAAAGTGTGATCTGTGTGTTCCCTTTCTATGGTTGTGTGCATCACAATGATACAGAGGCTGGCGGTTTCAAACTGCTTTAATTGTTCCCTTTCTTCTCCACTAGTAATTGTGTGCGTGCAATGCCGCCGCAGTTCATACATAGTTTAGAGTGTGGTGTAATTAATCATGGATTGGTGTAATTAAACAAGGCAAGTTGAGCACAAGAGCACAATTTCAGCTTCCAGATTTTGCAGGAAATTAGTATCAGGAAGGATGTGATTTGGAGAGATTATCCTTTACCTTCCTATGCAGTTGTCACACATCAAGCTCTTGCATCCTCGGGTTATCATCTCCTAATAGAAATAATTGATCATGGAAGCAGTTCAGCTTATGCAACCACTATTGTTGTTTGTGCTCAGTGGCAATGCACAGTAAAAATAATAATTGAGTATGTAACTGAGAATTGTGAAGAAATATCTTACACATTGAATCCTGGAGCGTCGAGCTTGGCCACTTCTTTTCGCAACCACAAACCACGAAGCCTTGCTGGATAGCACATAAAGATCTCACGATTCACTGGATCCTTGAAGGCATCAGATGACAGAACCATGATGTCATCAGATACATCATCCATGGTATCAAGAACTTCGATGCATGCATCTTGACATCGAATATTCGATGCATTCATCTTGACATCGAGTATTGCTGCCCCTGTGCAATTGTTTGTTCCATTGCTTGTTCCTTCAAGCTAGAATGTGCTCTCTTGAGATCAACATAGGCTGACATGGTTTCCTCAAGGCGTGGTGGTGTTTTTTTTTTTTGCGTACCAACATCCACACCTCTCAAGTTTGAAGATTCTTCATTTCTTGAGTTCAAGGATTCTTTAGTTCTCCGTGCTTGTACATTGGCATCAATTTCATCATCATCCAAATCTTCTTCATTGAGACCTTCTGACATTGGCTCGTCATAACTTTTGCCCAGAGTCTCTTCTCTTTCAAGTCCATAGTGTTCCTTCTTCCAGCATCAAAAGTCTCGTTATGCAATACTTGACTTGTGGAGGCATCCTTTCTTTGAGGGACTTGTTGGGTTTTTCCCTAGGATGTTTCCTTGAAATACTCTGGTTGATCGGAACTCTTGCACAATCAAGATCAGTCTCTAATAAATGTGAAGTGATGCTTTCCATCAGCAAATTGTCCTATTAAGATGCAGTGAAATAACATCATGAAGATGCTACTCCTACTTTCAGCATCTATAGAAATTTATCATTTCAGAATAAGAGCAGCAAGGAGATTAATCAACCAGAGCATACTTATCATTTCAACCAATCGTTTATCCCCAAAAAATGTAGCAGCCAACTACGTTGCACGGATACTTCAGAAAGTGCGCGTATCCAGCCGGATACTGCCCCGATACGTATCCCGTAAGTATCCCTCGATATTTTGATGTAAAAAAAGAAAATAATGTTTGATACTTCTAGGATACTTCTGTGATACGTTTTGGATACCTAAACCCCTCGTTCGACGTGAAATCCCCTTAATAATAAAGGCACACCTTTTGAAGTTTCCCAACATAGGCATGAGTTCATGTGAAAACATGTCTGTCAATGTTTTCGTTCAATTGAAAGGTGAGCAAGAGAGAATCGATGCACTGATTGGAATAACAAAATTAGGCAAATCTCACTGCCAATTAATGGAAGTGTACTAAGTGCAAGAAAAGAAAAGGGCAATCCTATTGAGGCATGCTTTGACCTAGAAGCTCCTTAATTTTTTTTTCTTCATATTTGTAATAATTAATATATCTAACATCTATATATAAATGTATCCCCGTATCCATGTTTTTAGAAAATTGGCGTATTGGGCGTATCCCCGTATCGCGTATCCGATACGTATCCAAGTATTCGTGCAACGTAGGCAGCCAAAATGCAGTAATCAGAGATGTAGACAAGCATCATTCAGTTTATTAATAATTCGTCTCAATCATGTCATGTGACGGCACATATGTGTACATGTCAGAAACTTCTAGTTCATGGTACAAGACACATTGATGTAAAACTGCACGAAGGTTCACGGTTCAGAAGCAATATGTTCATCAACGTTCATCAAGTTTCAGAGTTTACAGTTGAATTATTCATGAGTTGCATTTGATTCCATCTCTTGCGAAATAACTAGTGGAACGATTTAACAAAAACACAAGTAAATAGACTAACAAATCCTTGGGTACCGAATTTCAGTAACAATTTTACTAGTGGCAAAGAAGTGCAGCATGCAGCCTAACATTTCCGTCACGAATTCAACATTGGCAAGCCCTAAGACACATCAACGTTTCAGATCAACATTTCCATCACGAAAACTCACCAATGATTCCACTTCTTGCGGGCGGTGGATGGAGGACTGGCGGTGGCGAGTGGAGGGTTGGGGCTGGGGCGTCAGCCTCGTCCACGAGGACCATGACCATCTCCTTCACCACGCACTGTTCCGGCCGGTAGAGGCTCCTTCAGATCACACACGGACGACGGCCGACGGATGCGCGGTTGGGAATGGACGGCGGCGCGGACGGCGGAGGCTTCAAGGAGGGAGTGAGGTGGCGGAGCGCGAGTCCTGGTTCGGGATGTGACTGCGGTGGCGGCTTGACTCGTTGGAGTGGAGAGCAGCCGGGTCTTTCGCACAGGGAGGAGCTCGGGTGGGCCAGCCCATGTAGCGCACTGTTCCTTCTGGCTTTTTGCTAAAAAAAAATCTGTTTTATATCAGTTTACAGACTTTTTTTATTTTAGAAAGACACGAATTTGTTTTATTTTGAAAAGGTGGAAATTTATGTTTTTCTCTAAAATTATCTTAAAACATAAACATTAAAAAAGTGTGAAGAATTATTCAAACTTTTATGAACATTTTAAAAATAACGAGAACATAATTCAAGGGAAACGATTGCTCTCAACACTTGGCTCCCGTCTGCCACATGATTTTCTGCAACGTCACCAATGTTGCTGAAGTTTCTTTCGTAACATCAGGAATGTGGCAAAAAGGAGAAGATACATAAAATCTGCAACAAGATCTCCGTAGCACAAAACAAAACTCTACAAGAAGACCTCTGTCGCCAAAAAAAAAATCTGTTGCAATGGTGGAGGGGTCCGCTCGGCCAGTCGTTGCACCAGATCTGACGGGTCGTTGCACCTCGCGCCCTTGTGGCGCACGCCCTAAATCCTAAGTCGTCATCCCGTCTGAAAATTGACCAGCACGTACTTGAAATTTAAGCAAAAAATTACTCGTCGGTCGGTGGTCCTGTAAAGCACCGGAGGAACAAGCCATGCATGCAGAAGTACTAGAGCCAAGTGCCCATCATTCCAATGCCGCGTGATGCCCAGTGGAGTGTCCTCACAAGTGCTGCAATGAGTGAGCGGTGAGTCAGGTCTGTCAGTCACCAATGGCCGGCCGTCTGCACCGTCCATGGCATGCAAGAGCTAGCAACACGAAGCTGGTAACGTACCAAAGCGCGCACCCATTTTTCAACACAGCTACAGGCGCTACGTACTACTGAAAATGAATGCATGCAGTGGACGCTACAGCTTTGTTTCTCTCACTCGACATGCATGGAGCATGGTTGGTCCATATGGCTGTTGATTTCGCCCCTACAAAAGCCAGTCCCGTTATCTTTCTTGTTTCCCCTTCCCTTATGCTTTGCAACATGCATGCATGGTTACACTTATACGCATGCATCCATGCATTTTCATGCATGTAAGCACTCCCTCGTAAACTAATACGTATAAAAGCGTTTAGATAACTACATCACTAGGCCAATAGTGTGGTTCCATCAATTTGCTGTCCATCGTGCAGGTGCAGCAGAGCACGCCCGGCTCTCCCGTCCCGCGCACATGCATGTTGTGGTGGATGCTCCAGTCCAGTGTGAAGTGTGAACTCCACCGCCGCAAAGCGAAAGGGCGAGCGTGCTTCCTCGTACAGCCGGCCGGTTGGCACTGGGCAGGCAATGTCTCGTGAAAGCGCTTGCTGCCGGGCTTCTGCCTGCTGCGCATTGTGTGTGTGTCTTTCCCTCCCTAGGCGCGCGTGCTTGTTCGTACCGCATGGGAGGAAATGTCTCGTCCAGGATGAACAGTGCCTCCAAGGCGCAAGCACTCGTACAAGAAGGCATGATCGAGTAACAAGACGGATCGATGATGGGGGTGGTGATATGAGACCTGTGAGTCTCCTTGTGATGATGGTTAGTACCTAACTGGGCCAGATGCAGTTTCTGTCTGCCGCGTGATCGCCGTGACTTGGTGTCGAAGGAGACGAGCTGTGGCTTGGCGAAGCAGCCAGGTAGCCTCCTCGTTAGCTTCTGCCCGCTGCGTGAGAAAGCGAACACGCTCTCAGCTTTTTACAGTCGTCAGTCGCCACTAACCTATGCCGATGCTGCTCAAGTAGAAACACCATTCAAATTTCAAATTGAGTAGGCAAGCCGCCTCCGGTAACCTAGTAACCTGTGCCGATGCTGCTCAAGTAGAAACGCCATTCGCAGGCAAACCGCGTCCAGCTGCAACGGCTCCTCCTATATCGATCGGTCGCCTATAAATGTGTGTACACTGCAAAGTGCAGACCCAAACCTTATGCATGCTACAGATTAGTA